TAATGGGATGTTACTTGATTGTGTTCACTGACTGCAAATCATCAATGGCCTAAAATCAGCTTCCACAAGACATGTGATGAACACAATTTGACATATCTGCGTGGATATGTATATAATTAAAATTTGGTTATAGTTACTAGATGGCGTGAAAGGTCAATCTGTCATGTGACACTGTTATTATCATCAAAGTATGACAATCGCTCCAATCTATGCACATATGCGCTTCTGTCTAAATGAACGATGAACAATCACCGCATCTAATGCTTATGCATTTATTCTGTTTGATTTCTGTATGCCTACGTGAATATGTATATATACGTTTGTACGTGTGCACGTGATACATCTTTGTTTATAATAAGAATATATTGCCTTGACTATGTGAATACGTATTATTATTGTTTACTATTATGCACGTATTAGTGCGACTATTAGTTGCACGAACTGAGTTCATAATGACTGGGTGCAATTGTCCATTGTTATAATGGCCAACGTCAGTTCACGTGCGTTTGTTACGCGAACGTTTATTGTTTTATTGTGTCATTGTGATTACAATGTTTCATTAACATTCAGGTTATTGATTTATTCCAAAATTTTAATTTGTACATACTCAAGTAAATTGTTTTGTTTTTCTTTCGCTTTCTCATCCATCATTTTCCCGTTTTTCACAGCACACGTTTTCTAACATTATCACTTATCACGCGCCATCGTTTATCACGTATCACTTTTCACGTGCCATCGTTTATCACGTATTTTCCTATCTTCCTCACTTTTTGTTCAGTGCCATCGTTTATTACGTATTTTCCTATCTTCCTCACTTTTTGAGGTAATTTCCTCTCCAAGTTCAAATAATTAATCGATTATCTATTTTACCGCCTATTTCTTTTATATTTTTCACTTATTTAGCTGAAAATAAATTATTTTATTCCAACGATATGGTATATTTCCTCTAATTTTAATTTTACATTCAGTTTCGTTTTGAATTTATTTCAATTTTATCATTTCCACTTATAGTATTACTCGAATTCATCAGCGATTGGAGATTGAAGGGGAAAGAGGAGCTGAATTAGTGATGGAAAGATATATATATATTGTTAACTTACTCAAGAAATTTGTACAAAAGAGAATGACTTGGCCTGTGACACTTGTGTCAAATTGCTGACATCATCTGACGACATTGATTTATTTCAAATTGAAAATTGTTTTTGGCGGATTTCGAAACTTTCAGAAAATTAATGTTATTTATTCGGAGACGCATAAGGCGCATATTTCAAAGCTGAAATGAGAGAGAGAGAGAGAGAGAGAAAGTGAGCGAGAGAGAGAGAAAGCGATAATGAGAAAGAAACTGTCATTTATAGAATGAATAATGAAATTGACAGTATCGTAAATTACTCTCACGCTTTCTTTTATTTTCTAATTATTAAATATATGTTACAAATTGATTCCTAACTGAGAAAATTTCTCTCTATTATCTTCTTCTTTTTGTTTCGCTTTTTTTTGAAGCTATTGTTTTGTTACAATGATCAAATGCTTAATTTCATAGACCACTGTTTTTCTTTTCTTTTTTTTGATTATTGCCCAAATAGTATATTTTTTTCAGATTGCTAACAAGAAGAAAAATTATTGACGACAAATTTATATTTGGTACTTCGAAGATTCGATCGATGATGGCTAATAAAGAATTGATGTCATTTCAAAGTATGCAAACAAAATATCATACAGTGGTGGAATTAAGACCACAAACATTTTGTAAGTAATTTTCATTGAAAATATAGAAAAAATTTTCCATTTTTGGAATCGACATATGTATCAAACGATAGATATGATTTCAGTTTGATTCATAAACGGATGTCACTTTTCTGATGGTATATCTTTGTTTGGAATATCAATTTGCTATTCCAAAGAAGAGAAAAAATTCATTCGAAAATTGAAAGCATTAAAAAAGATGGTGAGGTAGTGCACAGTTGGATGCATTTCTGTTGTGAATTTGTTGAATGAGTTGAAATTTATTGAGAATAGTTAACAGGAATTTAAGGAAATAGCGAAAATTGTCCGACCGATTGCTTTTAACATTATTTAATATCTCTTTTAAATAAATTTATCACTTTTTGAATTATGAAGTGAAGTTTTCTGAGATTTTTAGATATTTTTACATTTGCAAAACCTATGACCTTTGAATGATACTTTATTTTTAGGAATTATTGTGTAATTTCCTTCATTTGTAAATTTTAATGAATATTTTATTACTAGATACTTATCCTGTTTTCATTTCCTTTGCAATGTTTTGAATACAAAGATTGTCGTTGTCATATGTGATAGATAATAGAAACAAGAATAACAGGACAAGTTATTTCTATGTTGCTTTAGTATTTATGGGCAATGAATCACTGCATTAAGTATGTTATGGAAGATATTAAGAAAGAATTTATTTAAATTTTTGACTAATTTAAGGATATTTCAAATTTTCTAAGATTCCCCACTAATCTATTCAAATTTCTCGGATAATTTGTTAGAATATGTTTATAATAAATGTTTACTGTTATTGTTAAAGTTAAAATTTAGTTTGAAGAATAAGATAATAATTGAGGTAAACAGATGAGCGTTTTAGAATTTATTATTGTTACTTGAAATATATTAGAGATATAAGAAGTAAGTAAAGGAGGAAGGAAGGAAGTATAGAGAGGGAAGAAAAGAATCACTCTTCTAAATGTTGAATGCGCAAAATGTCTTACATCCAAAGACGTGGAGTTTGCGGCTGTTTTAGTTATAAATACATCGATGACTGGACTGACTGGTTGAAGGGAGATAAGAGAATGAGTGCTTTAGGATGGAATTACGAGAAAAGGGTTCCATATAAATATATTTTGTAGATCGATATCTGTTCCACATTGTACTCTGAATGCTATGCAGTAGCAGTAACAACTCTACTTTTCCGCCTTTTTTTCGCTTTTTTTTTCGTCTATAAGTGATGAAATGACACAGCTGGAGCGTTTATATTTCACTGAAATGACATCGATAGATGGAGGAGTGGTAGCAACAGCAGCAGCGCAATCAGTAAATTCGTTCTTCATATATTCTAGCATCGTTTCATTTCCGATTATTTTTAATCTCTATTTAAATATTTTAATAGAGTAGGGAGAGTAAATGTATTTCTTCTAGCTATTGTTTTTTTTTTTGTGTGTGTTTATATCTATCTTTTTATTTATAACCATTTAATTAACAATTGAATGCTTAGACTTAATTTTAGACATGTCACATCAATAATTAGACTAATATGGAAATCATAATAAGTTGAAGGAAGTGGTTGTTAATCAATGTAGTCTTGCACAAGTGCGCATAATAGTTTTGCGTAGTTAGTTAGTTAGTGAGTAGCTTATTTTATTGACTAAATATGAAGTAAACATTTCAAAGTTTTAATGAAATAAGTTTCATTTAGTCTCTTTCAATTATATAAATCATTTATTGCTAAAAACGTGTATGTGTGTATGTATCTATGTGTATGTATGTATGTATGTATGTGTGTATGTGTGTGTGTGCATCTTTCTATATCGACAGCTATGATATGATTTATTGCCTTTAAAATGAAGACATATTGATATGGATTGGGAGATAATAATTGTACTAAAATACATTCACCTCTCTCATCTACTATAAATTGTAAAGCATTTGCTTGAAAAATTGAAAAAGCGAAAGTTTATAATAAATTTTGGAATCGTCATAAAGTATTTGGGTTGTATTGTCCTTCCTTCTTTTCTTTTTAAATTTTAATTCATGAAAATCCGTTTAAAAATAGCTACCAATTTTAAGTCATCGCTTCATTTCAAAAGGAAAAAAAAATGCTTCCTTTGTTTCTTCAAGATGATTCATCCAACTAGATTAAAGCCATAAATGTTACTGCATCAAACTCAGTCATTTTTTCTCTTCCATCTATTCTTTTCTCAGTAGGAAAGAAAAATTTTTTTTCGATGGACTTATAAAGTGACAAGTTACTTTGAGTTCATGGTTTACTGAATGTGAAGTGTACTAACGATTGCCAATGTAATATGATGTGACATGTGGAGAGAGTAAAATGATGTATTGTATCACTGTGTTTAAATTACCCAAAAAATTTAGGGTAAGAAGATGGATTAGAATAATTGAAAGAGTTACCACTATCATATAACATATTACATGAATTTTCATTGCTGAATGTTTCATTATGTATAAAGCTTACCGGAGTTTACAATGTTGTATTAAAATTATAGCATCATTTCCATAGATGTATTTGTAAGCCATGGGTGACAAGAACCATATTAAAATAGCAGCGAATGATGAGTAGTAGCTTGTTGCAATTCTCAACTTTTTAACTTTTTTTCAAATGACAATTCTGAGTTTTTTTTTTTTGGTAAATTAAAAACACTTTATGGCATTATTAAATCGATTTTTCCTGATAAATGTTAATTTTTCACTTAATACTACTAAGTATTGTTTTCGAATTTTGAATAGGTCCTATCATTTTTAAATGCCATTATTTTCATTTCTAAAGTAATTTCGTTATTCGCGTCTCTTTCGTTATTGATACAAATTTACATAACTGTATGCCAGTTTCATTGTTCATGGGTGTGTATGCGTATGTGTGTGTCCTCTGTCATCGCATGAACAATATTATATTCTCTTCTACTGTTTATTACTTTAGAATAATTGATCTCAATACTTTTTTTTGCATACTGTAATTACTGTTATTATTTATCATATTCATCATTACTATTAAATGACAGTAATAATAATAACAATAATGATAATAATAATTGCAATAATAATTATTAATTATGATTGTTATGTTATTTGTTGTTATCAGCCATCATCATTGTCATCTTCACTGCCACTGTCATTGTCACTGTTATTATTACTATTATTGTAATTGTCGTTACAATTAATTATTCATTATTACTGATCATAATTGTTATTGTTTTTATTATCATATCCTTGCTGTTTTATTTTTATAAAAATTATTATGATCACAAATGCCGTGCGTGAGTCACGTGAGTATGTATGAGTCACCTGGACCATAGGTTATTCTGCTTGACTATTCTCTGCGTTACAGATATTTATTGTGATGTTCCTTTGTTGATTTATTTGTGATGTTTTTTTTTTTTTTGGTAATATATGATTAAACTTTTAGATAATTCAAATAAGTTTCAATCTTCCAGAACCTAAGCTTAATCCTAGTTCTAAATCTTTTCCTCTGACTCATTTTGAAAGTACCTTTTGAAATTGTTACAGAAATCTAGTAATTAGAATGTTTACAACTGTTTTCAGTACATTTTATCACCACTCAACTCCTCTCGTTCTCTCATTACATTGTATTTTTAGCAATTAGGTCATGTCTTGTTATCGCTTATCGTTAAAGCTTCTCTTTTTTAGTTTAGTCGATCGCTAATCCTTAGTTAATTTTGTTGCTATTGGAAAGTAATGCGACGCTGCTTTCTTTTATTATCTAAAATTTATCTCATTTTATCATCTAGATCGCTGACTAAAATGGCTGCTTAACGAAATCATTTTTACGAAGCTTACAACCCTATTTAAGAGGAAAACGGCAGCGTTCTGAAAATGCTGCATTTTCTCGTACCGGTTGTGATTTCCTCCTGAAACTAGTATCCCGTTGTTTAGGAAAAGATATTTTCAGTTTTTCTTGACCGGTAATATATTTCTTTCCCGGTTAGTTTAAAATCCATAATCTTCTTTTTACTGTAATTTGTTAATCGTTTTACTTTGAAGATTGTACCTTTCTATTTCTCTTTCTCTTTTAAATGTTGTCTTTCTCGTTTTTTTCTTCATGTTTTTCGTTATTTTACTAATATATTCAACTGTATTTTTATTTTCCAGCACGTTGCGGATTTCGAATTAAGAAGAAGATTGCTCGACGTTATTCGTCATCTCCGTCATATTATTGTGCAAAAGATAGGACGGCGATGGCAGTGCGAATTGACGGCTTGCAGAAGGATATCTCAAAAGATGATTCGACATCTCGGTTACCTCCTGAAGAGGAACTTTTGTGTGCTTTTGAAGAAGTTTTGGTATCCATTTTCCTTTTTTCTTTTAATCTTTTACAAAACGACACTGTTAAATTGGTTAGGTTCTGTGACTTTTAAATTTTAACTAATGAAATCAATGTGAGCAGCTTTTGTTTATCGTACAAAAGTGTTTTCTTCATTTTTCAATATGGCGTATCCGTAGTAGTAAATATTTGTTTAATATAGTTAATGAAAATTTTGAGAACTTTCGCATACCAAACTAACGCATGAAATTAACACACGATTTTCTCTTATTTTGTTTGCAAAGCGAAATTTCCTTCATTCATTTCTGTTTTCTTCTGCAAAATTAGGGGAAATGAATTGTTGAATATTTTTCTGATTCACTTTTTATTTGAATATTTGAATCTTAAAGTTTCTTAAAATAATGCAATTTCTTCTACAGAATAAAATGGATCTTCCTCCAGATAAGATGCGAATTTTAAGAAGCTACGATTTAAATAAGAAATGGGAGCTGGTTTGTGATCAGGCTCGTCTTTCAAACCGTTTTTATGATTTTTTTTGCCTCATAATGTTTTCGGTAAACATGACGTTGATCACTTCGATTAACATTTAGGACCATTCCCTATTTGAATTCCAATAAATAATTATATTGCTCATGCTTTTAGAAATGCTTTTTTTTGAATTTCAGAGAAGAATGTATGCTGTAGCTGATCCCTCCGTATATCTGGAAAAATTGGCAGTTTATTTGGATCGAAGAGCTTCCAAAAAAGTGAAATTTTTTCCTTTATTGAAGTCTCGTTATCATATCACTTTTAGTTTTATTTCTTTTACTTTGGTAACCAAAGTTGATAAATTTACAAATTAAGTAATTAATAATGCTAACAGTTTTCTGACTTAACAAAAGGATTTGTTACAAATTAAAAGATTAGATTCGAAATTGAAACTGGATTTTTCTGCTTCTCATCATTATTCCTCGGGGGGAAATTAGCTTACCGATCTTTTCATGAATTTTATTTATAAAATGTATTGAAATCTAATGGAAGCATTTTACAGAGAAAAAAATTGTTGGGTGATGAAACTTCAACAAAAATATTAAAGCATATTGAAATATCATTGCGAACAAACAGTATTGAGTAGGCTTCTTATTTTGTTGCTAGATTGAATTAGTGTTCAGTTTTTATATCGTGTTCAAATAATTGCTATTATATTTATTATTACTTACAGTGATTGTGTTGTTTTAAAAAATTCTTATTGTGAAATTACCAAATCAGTTTTTCATTGAACAACAAATTTTTTAATTTAAAGTTGGGTGCGAATGTTTCTGAACGATCAGAATAATGGCTTAGATATGCTAATCGATTATTTGACACAACTTCAGGAGGACAGAAACTGGGGAAGGTAAATCCTTTTCTTTTTTGTATGGAAAATCAAAGTATGAAATAATCTCTAAGCTGTAATGTAGTGTAGAGTGATTTGATAATTGCGATAGAAAGAAATAATTTTAAATGGTGTTTTTGTAGTGCTTGCAACGATTTGAACCAGGATGGTCCTTCATCAAGCAGTGCATTTCCCTATTCTCATACATCACAGACTCATACTTCAGCAGTTTTAAATCCTGGCGACAACGACCACTTTTCGGATGAAAAGATGACCGGTGGCTTATTTCGGCGAACGATAAGTGTTACAAAGAAAAATTCAAAGAATTATGGTGATCGTGATGATGACATACACGTGTGCGTGAGCTGTTTACGAGCAATCATGAATAACAAGGTATCTATTAGCAAAGTATATTATACATACTAAGGTCGTTATGTTGGAAAATATGATAGTTTCATATAATAAATATTTGAATGTGTTAGTTGGAATACTATAATAAATGTAATTTAGTAAGTGATTTCTCATTTTATACAATTCTGTTTTTTTCTTTAAATTACTGAGCCTTCTCATACTCTTGACGTGTAAAAAACCTTTCATAATAGCAAAAGTGATTTTCGCTTACATAACATATTAAGAGCACTGTTGCAGTACGGGTTCAACATGGTGTTCAATAATCCACAAGCAATTTATTGTATAGCTCGAAGTATTCTGCATCAAAGTTTACGGTTTGCCTTCCATAATCTTTCCACATATATTTATTAATGACTTTGGAATTTAATAATTTTCCAACTTTTCGACATTTTTTTAAATAACGAAGTTTTACTTGATTTTGCTTTCTGGGTATTTTAATTAGTAATAATTCCTTTCTGATTATTCGTGGACAGCACTTAGATTCTTTTATTTTAGGATAAAAGCTTTGGCATTAGAATTACTTGCAGCAATATGTCTTGTTAATGGTGGGCATGATTTGATAATCAATGCATTTAATCGCTTCCGATCGGTAAGTTTCTTCACTTCTGAAAATTTTGCTAATTTCTTTTTATCCTGAATGATTCTTATTATCTTCTGACTCCTTACAATGATCATTCATTATGTGTTCCTTATGTTTTGCTAGTTAAGTAAGTTCTATCTTTTTTAGTGTGTTATTCAGTTGACATTGAAGATGTTTGGCGTCTTGTCTCGTTTCTGTATGCTGTTAAATCTTTAACTCTAAAAAATTATTTTATAGCAATTTGTAAGTAGCCAACGATGAGATATTTCGCTAAAAAAGGCAGAACTTATTATTATTTACAGGAATACAAAGAAACCTATCGATTCCAACTGTTGTTTTCTTATTTTATAAAACCACCGGAATTCAATGTTGATTTTATGGCGTCATGTATGCAGTTTTTCAACATTGTGGTGCATTCAACGGAAAGTATGAACTATCGCAGTTACCTGCAATATGAGCTTACTCTTTTGGGTCTTGATGATTACTTAGAGGTATTTCTTATCATCGATTTACATGTACAGTAAAACCTGTGAGGATCATTAGAAAATATGAAGTTGAACTCGAATACAATAAAGGATAAATTAGGTCTTAATAAGAACGCGATTAATTGCCAACCACTGATGCATCTTATTCTTCATATTCTTAGATCCGTGCCTTTGCAATCTCTCGCTATAACATTTTGAATATTTGATTATAATTTGCGCTTACATCGAAAAGAGATCTCGAGTAGATCTCGAGTCTACGAGATTCTCAGATAAATTCAACTTTATACCAATCGTAGGTGTTGCGAAATACAGAGTGTGAACAGTTACAAACACATGTAAATGCATATTTGGATAACAAGATTGACGTACATTTTCTACTGGATGAGACTGATAAGAAAGTAGAATTGGAAGCAGAGAATAGTCGTCTTACTGATGAATTATCGAAGGTTATTTTGTCAATTTTACAAATTTTATACTTCTTTCTTTTTCTTCTCTTCTGCAGTGACATTGTTCAATCTGTATAAATTTATTATTTTGTTTGAAAATCATACAATTACAGTTTCTTCAAACTCACCTTTCTGAAAGTTTTGAAGATTCTCCAGAGTTGGGAAGTTCTGGTATTTTGTAAAGTTTTGCAAGTTTTTTCAGAACTTATTTTAGGTCAAGGAAAGGTTGCAAGTGGTGGAAGCCGACTATATAGCTCGTTTGGCACAACTTGATCGTCGTCTAAAAGAGTTGAATGCGGAAAAAGAAAAACTTCTAAAAGAGCATGATTCCACATTAAGCACAATGAGACGAACATTAAATGAGAAAGATAAAGCAAGTCGGGAGCAGCAAGCGAAGTTGGAATCTAGAATACAAGAACTTGAAAGAATGCAAGCAAACATGAAAGGTATAAAAAAAATTATGCTTCTTTCAGGAAAATTAAGATCGAAAAGCTACTGGCTATGATATTGTTTTCTTTTTTTGTATGTTCATATTCTCATATAGTTAAATACTTGATCATAAGAAGTAAATAGATCAGATTTAATTGATTAAGCAGTTTTTTATATAAGATGTTTACGTTGTATTGAATATCTATATTTTTATCATCACATTAAGAAAAAAAATTGAAACCAAATATGATACTTATCAACTTCTGGATTATATTTGTATTTTTTTTATTTGTTGATGTTTTCAATTTGCAGCCGGTTTACTTGAAGCTAAAAAAGAACCTGCATCAACGGCAAATCCTCCAAGCCCTCCGCCACCACCTCCAGGACCTCCTCAGGGAAAGGGACTTTCAAAATTAACAGCAACAAATCATATCCCACCACCTCCACCATTACCACAAGTAAACAATGCAATTGGAAAATTACCTCCACCACCACCACCTCCGTTGTTAAATTCAATTAGATCTTCACAACTATCTTCAAAAATTTCTCCTCCTGCAAGCGATGTTATGACCATCAAAAAAATCTATAATACTAGGTAAACCGTTCTTAATATTTTAAGGTCATGTACACAACATATTTCTGTATCTCTATATTTTCCTCTTGAATAAAAAAATGAAGCTTGCTTTTTTTTTTTTTTTTTTTTTTGCTGCTTGCACATTGAAGATTATTTTGCATAACTCATATTTCTTAGAAAAATTTAAATCATAGCTGTTGGTAATAACTGATTCGCACCTAATGACAAATTCCTACACAGTTTGAAAGAAAAAATTACATTCAGGAATAAGCTACCATTATTGAATTGGTGTCCATTGAAGCCAAATCAGGTGAAAGATACAGTTTTCAACAACCTTGATGATGAAAAGATAATGGATGTAAGTTTTTTTTCCAGCCAAGCAGCATTTACGGTGAAGCAAAAGCTGTTAAAATTATTGTTCTTATGTTAAAATAACATAAATTCTGTCATTTTCTTAGTTTCGGTTTAATGAAAATCGATTAATCTTGGTTTTTTTAAAGAATTTCTCAAATTTTATCCGATGAATTTTCCTCATAGAAAATCGATTTTACTACTCTGGAAGATCTATTCAAAATTGGAGTTGCTAAACGCCTTGACACCACCGAATCATGTCTACCGGGACAACAATCTCCAATTGGTACTGGCAATGGTAGTACAATCAAGAAGAACACCATTTTGGACACAAAACGTTTGCAAAATATCGGTTGATTTCAGTTGACTTAATGATTTCATTACCTAACTGCTATCGCAGTGATATAGATGTAACAGTGATAGGTCATTATTATCCAGTCATCATTTACGATAACGATAAATTAATGTTTCATAAAGCAAAGATTAGGGATGTTCTGGACGGCGGGTTTAGTCAGTTTTTAGTCCTTGAGAATGAAGATAAACGAGAGAAAAAGAGAGATAGAAAATGAAGCAAAAAGTTGAAGGACATCGCATTGCAATATATAATGATTGTATGAAGTTGTACTCCAAAAACGGAAGTAGAGTCAAATTTAAATTTCTTATTGAGAATCTGTTGTTTAGAATAATTAAAAATTGTTTTGAAAGTTTTAAAAGGATACATCTGCAACTATCGTTGGCACCATTATAACATTTTTATTTTAGCAATTACATGTCGGAAATTAGCAATGAGTGCACCAGTGATTATGTCTGCCGTGCATCGAATGGATTTGAAAGCTCTCATCCCAGAAAGTGTTGACATTTTGATAAAGATTGCCCCAACGCATGAGTAAGCATTTTTATTTTTAACGGAAGTAATCATTTCCTCTCGATTTAGGATAACAGAAAAAAAACATGAATTTTGAAAAAAATTCTCTTTTTTTGAAGTGTTTTTTTTTAAATAAATTTTTTAAAAAAAAAATTGAAGTGCCTATAAAATTTTGAGCCATGTGCAAAACTTTAGCTTATAAAAATGGTTGAATGAAATATTTTCAAAATTTAATTTTTAGGGAAATAGTGAAATTCAAGGAGTATGAATTAGAACATAAAAATTTTTCTGATCTTTCGGACGAAGATCAGTTCCTTGCTCAGCTAGTCAAAATTGAACGATTTGAACATAAAATAAAAATCATGTCCTTCATGGCAACTTTCGACGAAAGTGCTGATCTACTAGAACCGGTAAAACTTTCGATTTCAAACAGAATACATTGTCTATCCGAAATTTCTAAACTCCCGACTGATGAGAAACTGATTGCGATTTAGATGGTTATTACCATATTATCGTTATCAGTATCACTGTTATTTATTATTATTATTATTATTATTATTATTATTATTATTATTATTATTATTATTATTATTATTATTATTATTATTATTATTATTATTATTATTATTATTATTATTATTATTATTATTATTATTATTATTATTATTATTATTATTATTATTATTATTATTATTATTATTATTATTATTATTATTATTATTATTATTATTATTATTATTATTATTATTATTATTATTATTATTATTATTATTATTATTATTATTATTATTATTATTATTATTATTATTATTATTATTATTATTATTATTATTATTATTATTATTATTATTATTATTATTATTATTATTATTATTATTATTATTATTATTATTATTATTATTATTATTATTATTATTATTATTATTATTATTATTATTATTATTATTATTATTATTATTATTATTATTATTATTATTATTATTATTATTATTATTATTATTATTATTATTATTATTATTATTATTATTATTATTATTATTATTATTATTATTATTATTATTATTATTATTATTATTATTATTATTATTATTATTATTATTATTATTATTATTATTATTATTATTATTATTATTATTATTATTATTATTATTATTATTATTATTATTATTATTATTATTATTATTATTATTATTATTATTATTATTATTATTATTATTAATTATTATTATTATTATTATCATTATTATTATTATTATTACTACGTTTATTATTATTGTTATTAACTACTATTATTATTTACTTCTATTATTCTATTAGTAATTTTTATGTTTCCTAAAACGTTATGTCAGAATGTTTATTTTTGCAGCAGTTTGTCAATTTAACGGCAGCTTCGAAATGTGTCCGCGAAGCAACAAAATTCCATCGACTTTTGGAAATATTGCTTGCATACGGAAATTATATGAATAGTGGACGAAAAGGGGGTGTCTATGGTTTTAAATTATCTAGTTTGGATACGGTTTGTTTCTTTTTTTTCTTGTTTTGGAAAAGATTTTTATTTATGAATTGTGGGAATTTTTATTATAAATTTATTTTTATTGCAGAAAAATTCTTGATTTATTACAGCTTTTATGTTTGAGTAAAAAAATCTGTTGACTAAACTTTCTTTATTGGAGCAATATTTTATCATTTGCTTCTTTATTTTTAGCTTTATGGCTTGAAGAGTTCAGTGGAACGATCACTGTCACTGCTTCACATTATCGCAGAAACAGTTTCACGAAGTTTCCCTGGATTGTTGGATTTCGCGGATCAGTTGAAATTTGCTGATAAAGCTAGCACTAGTATCTTGTTTTGTTCTAATAATTGAAATTTAATGGAAAGAAAACGATAATAATGCAGATACATGCATCAGTCCCTTTTCTAATATTCCTTTAAATATTCAAAGAGTTTCTTTGCTTTAATTTTAATGTGACAATTTATTTTGTTTTTCAGTAATGTGGGAAGCAGTTCTGGCCGATATGAGAGAATTAGAAGCTAATTTTGCTTCAGCTAAGAAAGAACGAGAATTAAAAGGTGCAGATTGTCCACCATCATTGCTCGATTTTTTGGACAAATGTGAAAAGCGAATTTCAGTTTTACAAGTGCAATATAAAACAGCTTCCGTAAGTTTTTCTACATTTTCCACGTTTTGGTATTTTCAGCCGTTTTTCTCCCCTCTCTTTGTACTGTATTTCCGGTTCATATCTGTAATATTCAGTTATTTTAACTTTTTTTAATTTTAGGAAGCTTTCACTGCATGTGTAGAATTTTATGGCGAATCATCACGAAATCAGCAACCCCATGCATTTTTTTCTCGATTATTGACATTTGCAAAACGATTCCAACAAGCAGTTGCTGAAAATGAGGCTCGACATGCAGCAGCAGAGGTTGGTAATATATGCTTAGTTAGAATTAAGCAATGAGACGTAATTATGTTTCCTTCTGCGTAACTAATGATTTGTTGATTTTCGAATTCTTATTATAATCGTTTCAGCGTTCTCAAGGAGAACAGATGAAGCGGCAACGGATTGGTGTAAGACGGCGAGTAACAAAAGATGAGCTAACTGAAAATGTAATCGATGAATTGGTAGAGAGAATTGGGATGACTAATCCTAACTGCGAAGTTGCTATGAAGGCAAGAAAACCAAAATTGGATTCCAGTCAAATCGATGATGGAGATTTTGAAAGAATTATGAATGGTAAGACAATGTTGGATTAAAAATTGATCTTATTTTATCAACTTTTGCATTTTGCTGGACGATGCACTTTACATGTATTTATTGGTTTACTTCTATTTGTTTAATGGATATTCCTTGTCATTTAATTCTTCCTTAGAGCCAAAATTTTGATCTAAATAGCATCTAAAAATTGGACCACATGTATAAAAAGTAATAGTATTGCTCAAATTTATGTGCAATTATTTCCTTTAAGAAGTGTATGTTCCAGGTTTAAAGGAAGGAGCTTATGTAACATTTGATGGCGCACAAGCTACAAAACGATATAGTTCATCGCTTGCACTGAATAGTAAGAAAAGCTTACATCCACCACCTGTTGGACCGAAAACAAATCGAACATCTGAAAATCACGAATGCTACTGATAAATTCTATTTTGCCGATAAATCTTTCTTTATAGCGTTCCTTTTGGCTTACTTAGTTAGCTACTGGCTTATCGATATTATCTACTCTCTTTTCTTCAGTCCAGAATTTCACACCGTTTTCATTGGATAATATATACAGTTGATTTATATTCGAAATTTAGCTCAATCCTGTTAAATATTTTCATTAATGGAAGTATATTACCATCATATTATCATTCCAGGACATGTTTTTTGTCCAATTTTTGTTATGTTCTTTGCATTGCTGCACTTTTCTTCTTGTTTATGGCTTTTGTCTTTTTAACTCACTTTCCATAGCTTAGCTGTATGTAACTTTAGCAGTCCAAACAGGTTTAGATAATTTTTTTGTCTCGTTTTAATGAAAGCTTGCATACGAAATCTTCTGCTTAATAAGTTGCAAAATGTTGCTAATTTTTAAATATAATTTTGTAAATCAGAAGTGTGACAACAAAAGTTCAGATATAGTCGAATAGAAGTCTTAATTATTTTACTGAAAAAAAATAATAGGACAAACTGATGTCTAAGGCGAATTCCCTTTTTGAGCAGAATTCCCTTTTTGTTATATGATATTAACTAAATTTATCATGCATTTGATCATCATTTTAGAAGTGATATTTTATTTTGTTAACTTGAATTTCAACCTTTATTTTCCCTGCATACAATGAATTTTAATTTTTTTTTTAAACAAATGTATGTCTAGCATTCCTTAATTTCACCTTAATAAAATCCTGTGCAGGAAGCGAACTTTTTAAAAATATATTTGTATATTTCATTGTGCTTACATTATAGAAAAGATCTGTATTTGTTATGATCGCAAGAAAATGATTTATTCTATTCTCATGCGTAGCAGGTTGTTCCACAAATGCTCACATATAATTTATATGTCATACGATCAATATGACGACTATTCAACCTGATATCCCAAACTCAATTCATTTTATATTTTTATGGAATTTTTGGCGTTCTCTCCCGTCCTTAACGATACAATTTATTGTCCTATCTGGCTTATGCCAGCAGTTCGGGAAGTGACTTTAGTTGTTTATTACTGTAATTTCTTTGAATATCGGAAAGATTATACTCACAGTTGTAAATTCATTATATTCATTAAATCCGTTAAAATATGAATATTACTATAATTGTAATCAGGAAGGGTGCGCAACCTCCATTTCCTCATTTTGGTTCAAAAAAATAGGTGAAGTAAGATTTGTGAAACTTTATGAAAAATATTTAAAACTCAGGAACTGTTAGTAATTATCGTCATATTTTTGTTTTTAGCGATGTGCTCATTTGAGATGTACTTCATAAGTTTGAACATTTTTCAAGTGATCTAATTCTCAGGATGAGATTCTAAATTTCATTGTTTAATAGTTTTCCAGTATTGTCATTTTCAAAAAGTTAATGTGTTTCTTATTAATTTTTTGAAATAACAGGAACAATTTAAAATAGATTAAATGTTAAATAATTGTTATTAGTACTATTAAACATTAATAAAATTCTCATTTCTTTAAAGCGAATTTATGAATATTAATGGTAGCTAATAAAAATAAAACAACGTGTCAATGACAAATTGTTCAGTTTGCTATTGTGATTGTTCCAGTGCGGTCAGTTAAATCATTATCGTGATTAAAGTGATGAAGAAAAGGTGTCATTATTCAGGATTTTATTGTCATTAATTTAATTATACTTCACTTTTACTCTAAATTATAATCACTTATTGATTTAAATTATTTATATTTGAATGAAATATTACTCAAATTATTTGCTCATTATTTTCATCATTCAAGAATGCGAAAAAATTCAAAATTGCTAAAATAAGGTTAAATTATTATTGTTCTGCATTAACTCTATTTAAATGATAAGTTATGAAATGGAATAATATGGTTATTTATGTGATAAGTTCACCCAAATAACTACATTATTTGTACAACTGTTTGATGTTAGTGATAATTACATATAACTTCTAGCAGTTTTACTTCCAGTGTTTATTCTTTGATATCGTATATATCATCTGTTTCAAATTTTTCATTATAGAAAGATTTGAACATTTAACTTAACTATTTTTACAAAAAAATGAAATTATATTGGTGTAAAAAAAAAAAATTTGATATAAAGTTTACTAACAAACATGAACTTTTATTGAATTCTTAAATCAGTTTTATTGACTAAATATTTGATCCATCTATTATTTAATAAAATAATATTCTTAGTATAACGTTGAAAAAAAAAACACACCAAAAAAAAAAAAAAAATTTATTTGAGGAAAAGTGAGGTAGAAATATTGTTGTATGAATGAGATTCAGGAAATACACAAAAAACACTGATCAAGAAATAAATGAAAATAAAACTGCGACGAAAGATGCATCAAAAGTGTCAGTGGCAATTGCGGCAATGAAAGCATTTGCGGAACAAACAAATATATTAGGTCTTGAAGGGTTGCGGAATAACTTTTGTAAATTACAAGCACGTGGACCACATCCACATGATTTAACATTTAATGCTCAAAAAGTGAATCGTACCAAATGCCGATATCATGGTATATATTCATGACCAATACTAAATTATATTCATTAAATTACCTTATACTTCTGAAATGAATCTACATTAATAGAAAGAGTTTAGTCTAAGTGAAATAATTTGTAATAGTACATTTTACTTTTAGAATTTTGTTTATAAAATTAGCAAACTAATTTATGCCTATTTTTTGATTCTAGATACTGTTGTATAATTTTCTATTTGATATGATAATTCTATAGCAATACTTTTAGCACTATTGACAATGATAATGATAATGACAGTAATAATAAATAGTAATGTAGACTGTAATTTCGAATATTTTAATTCTGACTTCGTGGAAGAATAAGTTTGCAGACATTATATGCTTGGATAACACTCGTGTATTCCTCAAACCGTGGCCAGAAGATCAAGGTGATTTCATACATGCGAACTGGATTAACAGTGAACTTCTCGATTGTCCTTTCATTTGTACACAAGTATTAATTCCTTACCAATTACTTATTACCAGCACTACGTTTCTGCTGCTCTTGTATTATGTATTTTATTCCATTCATAATTTTTATGCCATTAGTAATTCTTTAAAAAAGTTTCTTTTTTTTACTGTGAATCATTTATGTATTTATTTTATTTATTTACTATTATTGTTATTATTAATGCTTTTATTATATTATTATATAAAAATATTATTACTAATAATGATAGCAATAAAGAATAATGTAGTCATACTGATTATGTTAAGGGTCCACTGAATCAAACTTGTGGTGATTTTTGGCGTATGGTTTGGCAGGAAAATGTTGAATTAATTATAATGCTTTGTCGTACGCTTGAAGAAAATCGCAACAAATGTGCCCAATATTGGCCATTAAATCAAGGCCAAGTGCTTACATTTTGTGGTATCACAATCCGAGCTGTCGAAGTAAGTTTTCATGTTCGTTTTCCGCTAAAAATTCACCATGTATTGGATTGAAAAAGTAATTAATGAAAATATTATATGATCTTTTATATGATAATTATTTTGTAAAAATGATACATTAATAATTAATATGAAACACAAAAATGATTCATGAAATTAGATAAGCTAGTAATGAATTAAAATTGATGAAATGTTTGCATCTGGAAGCTTTCAAGAAAGTGCTCACTAGAAAATGACACATTTAATTGTGTATTAGGAGAGAATAAATGTTAATGCTAAATTGTTCCAGAAACGAACAAGTGATCCAGATGTACATTGTACTGCACTACTGTTGACATACCGCGGTGCACGACGTCCGCTTGCGCACTATCAATGGGTATCATGGCCTGATAGATTTGTTCCAAGTCAATTAACGGTACCATATACTTTACTTAGTTCAGCTCGAGCCCGAAAAACACCCACTGTTATACACTGTTCAGCTGGAATTGGACGGACAGGTACATTGGTGGTACTCGAATTACTTTCTAGGCAAGTTTAAATCTTAACTTAGAAAAAATAAAAAAATAAAAATAAAAAAAAATAAAAAATAATACTACCTTCAAAGAGAATGTCAAATCAAAAGCAATTTGATGTAAAACTAAAATTAGATGATTCGTAAAAGTTTTGTACGAATTAAAATGTTATTATGTTTTAATTTGCATAAAATAGAATAGATCAAGCATTAAATAAAAGATTATTTGATCCAATAGAGTATCAATATTAAATATGAAAATAGAATGAAGAATACAAGTAGCTAAAAAAAAATGATAATTTAGTTTATTAACTCATTCATATTCTATTATTATAAATTCATCATCTCTTACGAAAAGGATAAATAATCAAACTTGATAACTTAAACAAAAAAAAAAGAAGAGCAGCAAAAAATATTTTAATAAATCATGTAATAATATTTCTACTCGAATTATCCGAATTAAAACTCTTTTGTTTTGTTTTGTTTTTTGAAAAATTCTTCTTTAACAAAATTAGGGAAAATTATTTCAGAACGTTGTTATCATGTCGTATTCCGGTAGTAACGGATATTATTTGGTCAGTTAGATCACAACGTTCACGTGCGGTTCAAAATGAAGAACAATATTTGTACATACATTATCTTACAATACAACGATTGGTTAATAAGGGTATCGTCTCCGATAAATCTGTTGCAAGCAAGTTTAAAATTTTAAATCAAAAAAAATTTTTGGGATAATTTTTTTATTGTTAATTAGTTGATTTCTGAGCGAAAATTGAAATGGTAAAAATAAAGGAATCATTTGTAGCATATATGATTGCAGTAACTTTAATGAAATGTAAAATATTGAAATACCACGCTGTCGCAGTATATTGCAACGATGGCATGCACGCGTGCATGCATGTTTTTGTTTCTGATTGAAATTACATAAACTACTTCAGTCACTTTTTTTACTTAAACATCATATTATTTTCGAGCATATTAACGTAATTTTCTAGAATTTTGCCGCGATTATGAGCAATTTTATTTTACTCGTACACATCGGAAGCAAATTCCGTTACCGATCCGTGAAAAAAGGAAAAAATCACGACCCAAAAAGCCGATCACACCAGAACCGGTAACGGCATTGTCAACATCATCAGTATCGCCAATAACAATATCAAAAAAAGGGTCGCCAGTCTCGACCGGAACACCAAAAAGTCAGGATGTTACTCTTGTATCGACTACAGGGACCGATTCTAGGCCTGTTCAACAACAGAAAAAAAAGAAAGGAACAATAAAAAAGAAAACGGTATTTGTTCGGGAATTACTGACTATTAATTTGCACTTTTTTTCGAATTTTAGACCTTAAAATCTGATTTACAAAAAATGCAAAAAAATTGTGGGCGAATTCTACTTTACTTCCGCTTGTTTTTAGGCAACAGGAGCCGAGGAATTTGCACCAGTATAATTATTCCTTCATTATTTTCTTCAACTATTTGTTTTTATAATTTTAAAATCATATTCTAATAAAAATCTAAATTTTGTAAGAAAAAAGACTTCGATATTTTAGAGCTAATTTAAAAGTTATTTTTTGTTTTGATTAAATTAAATTTAAATGGGAAAAGGAAAGAGGAGAAAACACAAAGTGGAGAATTATTCCAATTATTTGTTATAAGTCGGAAAAAATAGGAAATATTCAAGTGTACCTGCATAAGTATTGGTTAGAAAATCCCTTGATTACTTTAAGCATTTGTTATTAATCGCTAAGAAACTGTACTAATTCATATTATTAATTGATTACCTAATGCTTTGAATTTAAATGTATAATCGTAAATAAGTAAAAAATAAATCCATCAATCATTAATCATTAATTTTCTATATTTAATGCCAAAAATTTCCTTCTTTTAATCAATTTATTTTTCTTTTCTAGCCAACAACACAACAACAACGAGTGACAGCGGCAAAATTATCACATTCACAGGCCAGTCTTCAACAAGAATATCAAGAAGCGCAAAAGGAACTGCTGGAAACGTATCGTAAAGAAATGAAAATATCAATGCATACGCAACAGCGGAAAATAAAAGATGACAAATTGACATCCACTGAAGTGAATGTTGTTCAAAATGCGCAAAAGGATGATCAAGCATTAGACGTTGAAGTTCTTGATAGTAAAGTGAAAAAAGTCGCTGAAGAATCAAGAATCGCAGAAACTGAAGTGACATTTGCAAATTCTTTTTTTATCATCATCTTTCTCCCTCTCCCTCTCTCTCCTTTTTTGCTTATTTTCTTTCATAAACAAAGAACGGAATTTAAATAATATTTAAACTAAAAAAGCAAAATATGTCATTTTTAATACTACTGGCATACTTATAAAACATTATTAAATATGCAGCAAAACGAGATAATAACTGCAATTATATAAGAGTATATAAATTATCATTATTTTAATGACAAAAATTTTAACGGTCTGCGTGATGACAAAGAAAACTGAAATTGATAGTTTCAAAAAATTTTTATAATAACTGAGAATTTAAGAAAGAAATAGAAAAAACATGAATTTAGACAGGAAAAGCAGAAGTTGAAGAAGATGGTTCTAAATCAGTATATGCTTTCCTCAGTGATGAAGTCCGAAAAATTAAGCAAATGGAAGAAAATCCAGTGCCAAGAGAAGATGAAATTGATACTGCTGATTACGTCTTCATGCAACCCCTCTATGCGCGTACATACGGTGCAGCTGAAACGGAAAGTCGAGATGTAGCAGAAAAATATATGATGAATATGCTTCCGGAGGAGGTCAATTTCACATTTCTATTAATCGAAGGCTACATCTTTTTGTTTTTCCATCTTATAATTCTGTAGAGATTTCATTGCGTTTTTAATGTAATTTGTAATAGTAGAATTTGAGAAAAGATGGAATTTACCGATCTGTTAAAAGTTTAAAATATAAAATGATAGGAGTGGTGAATTTCTCGTTCGTAATTAAACATTTTAATAAAGACTGAATAATGGCTTTAGTATTTTGATAGAGCCATGGATGATGGAGCAGAGTATGTTGCAATTATGCCAGTAAACACAAACAAAGAAAATACAGAAAGTCTCGAAAATTTGCGAAAAAATTCTTCCAAATCAAGGGTTTCCTAATGTTTCTCATTTTATTCATAAAATATATAATATGTCTAGGGATATTAAGGACAAATATATGTATAATCGGAATACATGAATATTTTATTGATTTTAAAGCATAAAATTAATAGCAATGAAATCAAAAGACAATGTATAGTAACACAAAACCGATATTATTAAACAAATCGAGGTGATTCAACACTAGCTCCCTTTAGTTAAATATTACTTTGTTAGTGAAGGTAAACATTTTGATCATATTATACGTAGAATTAAATTCATTACAGAGGTAGCACTAATCAATAGCATGAAATAAAAACTGATTAGTTGAAATTTTTCAGAAAAGCAAAGGTCCAAATTAGTACATGGCCAATTCTCAACAAATTTCCCGGTATTATTGCATATATTTTGAAAACAATCCCCTATGTTAAATTACATTCAACAATAAACATTTATCCTAACTTCTTATGTCATTTTCCTAACTACAAATTGCACAGAATTAAAACAAACAAATATCTTTATATACAATTTATAAACATCCACATTAAATTGCTGTGATTTATCATTCATGAATGATAGAGTCATCAAGTCTATCGATTCGGATTTTATTAATGAAATAATTAAAAAAATGATAGTGAAAGTATGAATTAATAACACCTGCTTTATTGGGCAGTGGTATCCTTATTTTTTTTTATTACTTTTCAAAATGAAATAAAGATAACAACAAGAGACTTTGTGATATGCATTTATGGCACTTGACGAAATTAATGTAAATAAAGATAAATTAAGAAGAAATCTGATCGGCAATATCTAACTGCTCGAAATAGACACCAACAACTGCAATAAACAGTGAGAATTCTTCGTGCATTGTGCTACCACTTTGTGTTTTTTCATCCAACGTATTTCGTAAGACACGTGAATGTTTAGCCAGTTGCCGTATCGCTGAACACACATTGTGCGTTAACGGTTTCTGTAATACCAACATTAGTGCGTATATCCATTCAAATAGTGGTCTCGTATACCCTTCCTCAAGAAAAACCTGAAAACAAAAAAAGCAGTTTAGAGTTGTTAAATGTTAGTTACACTCTAATGAAGTCTTCAGTTCACCTTAGAATAAATGAATTGTGATACCACTTCCAGCCATAGATAAAGTATCATGCCGTACTTATCATCTCACGGTATTTTTATCATGTAACTATTAACAACTGTATTTTATTTACAACTCGCAAAATGGTGAAGTTCTCAGCTATTTCAAATATGACTTATATTTGTTTCTACTTATTCTCGAATTTCGGAATTTATTTAAAAGCAGCAAATCAATACTATCTCATGCAAATAAATAACCTTGATTGATGTGTTGTAGCTTTCGTAATAAAACTGGCACATATAAATGCACTTTAAAAATGGTAACTTACAGGCAAATATACAAAGCACTTCAAACTTCTAAAAATTTTAAACAAAAAATGAAGGATAATCTATTAGGAGATAAATTGTTTGTTTATTTTTTGTATATCCGTTCAGCATTTTCTGCCCTATGAAGTAATCATCTTTCTAACTCAACTTCTTACTTTAATAAAGAACTTGATTTAAAACTTGTACATCTATAAGATATTGAATCAAAATGTTGACTTGTTGTTCTGATAAACTGAACACGAGTTGTAATGTTGGTGGATTACCGCGATGATGTGCAAACCTTGGAATATCATTTGCTTTTATTGGAAATGAGTTAATCCGTTCTTCTAAACAGAATACACGCCATTCCTCGGGATCCTTCTGAACATAAAGAAAATTTTATATTATTTCATTTATCAATAAAAAGTAATAACAATACGACGAATGATAATTGATTAGATACTTTCTCTATTAAATACTATCTATCATCAATCATATTATAAAAAAAGAAACTTAGATGAAAATACAATAATCTACTGTGATGTGAATGGTAAATAAATAACACCTAAAAAAGACTCTTCCATTCTTAAAAAAGACTTTTAAATAAACCAAACATGACAAGTCCATGTTGCATCGAGAAAAGAACTTCAGCAACACCAATAGGATTACTTACCAAGCTTGGCCATTTAAAAGTTATAGTCTTTCTCCAGCGCCACTTTTGAGCATCAACAAGAGATCGTTGCATTGAAAATTTATTACTCTAAAGCGTAATAGCTAGTTAATATTCCAAAAGATATGAATTTTAGGAAATAGGGTGAACATGTGTATAGCTGAAATGTTTCAAAAATTTCAAAAGGACTATAGAACAATGAGCAAAATAATTTACGGCAAAACTCAATCTTTTCTTGGGAAGTTTTTTAAAATAAAATCTCCTTATTGGGAACATAAGATTCAGTTTTTTAAAAAAACGCCAATTTACCATGGCAATAGACCACTCAGAAGGCGGTTCACAGCTGAACAATAAATCCTCCGATATTGCAGAAGAGGCAATTTTTTGTGGAATCGTTTTTGCTGTAACTACTTCTGGACAACGTGCACGCGATACACTAACCTGCATGAAAAAAAGAATAAAATTTTCGAATTCAATTTGTACATCTTTACAATTTCTTATTCAAATCTGTGCCAGCATGCTGAATTGGTACTCGAATTCCTTTATGCCATGAAATTTAAGTTCCACTCTCCCAATATTTCAAATTCAAAAAATTTGATTTTCTATTACTCCAGTCATGCTCTACTGGAACCAGATGTGCTGGTAACTTCATCAAAACATAGCTGTTTAATGACTTACAATCAGCAATACTGTGATAACCAGCACACTATGTGTACTTCAATCAAACTTAATCAATGAATAATAAGTGTTTCTAAACGGCTTCCCTGTTTAAGGAAATATTTGTTAAATTAGTAACCTGCTGCAGGTAATGTGATGGATCTCGAGGTGTCTCAGTTAGCGAGACATCTCGTTCATCGAAATCACCAACATCAAAGACTGCTTCCTGCTCCATTTCCTAGATTTATTTTAACCAGCAATCTAAAAAACCAATGACGATGATGAAGCTAACTATACTAACAGAATATATATGCTATGAAAAAGCATTTCGTCCAGATAGATATAAAGAGGCAAAAAAAAGTCAAGAATAAAGAAAAGATAAAAATTTGGAGAAATAACAAGAGTTTTGCAAAAGATCACAAACCACCGTAGGCATAAGGATGATGTAGAACTTAGCTATCCCAAACAGTAGAAAATAGCTATGTAGTTCCTTTATGGAGTCTTCAGAAAAAAAGCATATCATTGTTCAATTCACCCAGTTAATTATCTTTACACATATCTAAGTGAAAAAAGAAGCAATTTAACAGACATAAAGGAAACTTTCGTAAAAAATGAAAAGTTATTAAAAAGAATTCAAATTCCAAACATATTTAATATTCATGCAGATATGTTCAACTGCCAATGACTGTTTTCTCACATTTCGAACTCACTTCTTTGTTTGCTTGTATCAAATGTAACGTTGAGAAATAGAAAGCAGCACGAATCCGTGATGTTATGAATAATAAAAAATACAAAATTTAATGAACATAAAAACATTTTTCACTCCTAATTTCATGAGAACAAAATACAATGATTCATCACTGTCTTTAGATATTTAAAATAGGAATTAGGAAAAAGTTACTGCAGTTTACAAAAGATGAGATTTGCTTTAAAATCCAAAGTACGAGAAAGATATTCAAAGTGAAATATAAATGATTACAAAAAAAGTGCGCTTTTTTCTCCCGGAACTGATTTAACACATGTGATTGCTTTAAAAAAATCAAAGACTATATTACAGTAGTATAGAAATCCATTTCATTTTAATGGTTTCAGAAACCGTCACACAAAATGATCTCCTAACAAAAATCAAACTTGACAACTTCGAAAAATGACTCCAGGTAAAAAGACTAAACAAAAAATAGCCTACACAACGGGTGAGCATACAAAAATGTGTTCTTGTCCTATACTACATTCCTAGAAATACACGAATGAAAACATCAGTGGTGTGAAAAAAAGAACTATAATGAGAACTTATTATAAAAATTAAACCACCGAAAACTTTTCAAAAAAAATGCAGAAGACTCAGTTCATCCATTTTTGGCAATTCGGTGCGCCGCATAAACAAGGAATTTTATCAGCCGCATCTTCGATATCGAACTGATAATCATATGTTAACTGAAAAAAAGTGAAAATATTGTTTTGCGAATTACTTTATTGAATCCAAAGGATGAATATTTCACTCAGACAACATTACCAAGAACACCCTTATGAGAGAAAGTGATCCTTTTTCAAAATATAGCAAAACGACTTGGTTCAAAACTGGTATGATAGAAACAAACGTTGCGATAAAAGTGCGAAATTTCAAAAACTTGAAAATATTTACTTCTTCTCCAGCACTTATTGGTCTGTTAGCAATAATGATAATTTTTTTGTCATCACCACAAGGACCCGAATCAACTAAACGTGTACTGCAGTTTGGATCACACGAATGATTGATGTATCGTGCTGGACCACCAGCCATTGTTGCATCAATAAGCCTTTCGTCATCAATACGAAACATGTACACACCACGATTTTGAGCTTCATACTTCTTTTCACGCATTTCGCCAACCTTCAAGTAGCGTAGGCTTAGTGTCTTATAAAACACATGCATCATTGCTAAGAATAGCAATGTATATCCTTTAGAATAGCAGAAAATTACAATGTAGGATATTACAGGAAAGTAAATTAAAAATAGAAATGGAATTCGCACTTAATCTACAAAATCAATTTTTAAAAACTAACTTCACTACGTATTACTTCGCCTTTATATTCGATAATCATGGAATTCATTTCAATATCTCGTGATGCATACAATCCTAATCCTTGAATACGTGAACGAGCTAAGTATACAGTATTTTTCCACTCTTTCTTCATCTTCTGATATTGAGAGTAATAAGCTGTACTCAGTTGTCCGGGTTCCCATCGTCCGCCATAACAATCTAATGTTGTACTACATGAACCGCGTCCTGCAGACACATCTACGCTGGATAATGAACTGCTA